AAGGTGCTGGTTGGCTAAAGTTTCCAAGATATTTCACAATAAAGATTTATAATTATCTATACACAGGCGAGTATATTTGCCTACAAGGGAGGGAGGTGTCTGATGATCATGTTGCCTCGTAACTTCTCGACAAAGTACGATAGAACAATGAAAATGGTTCCATATGAAAGTTTATAAATTTATCTTCACTTTCAGACTAAAGATTATTGCCTAACTGTAATTGTAACTGTAACTGTGGGGCAGTGAGTGATGAGCATGGGGAGAGATTCCACCAGGATATCGCAGGCATGGAGCAAAGATACCAAGGGAAATGGAGTCCGTCCATGCTTGCCGATTACTGCTGGAATCTCTCCAGGGATGATCCTACTGCAGTTCACAAGAGACAAGCCAAAAAGCGCCGTTCAGATACCGAATAAAGATGGAACCTTGTCGTTTAATCTGATGTTAGAGCTAGTATTCTGTAATTATCTGATATTCACATTGTATCTCGTAAGCTTTAAAACTGTATAATTTTGAGGTTGTATCTTAATAGTTTGGGAAGCTACACAGCAATGGGACCAACCCACTCACAATTCGGTCAGTTTTTCATGAAAAAAAGCATGAAAATGTTACATGAAAAAAAAAACAATAAATGAATGGAAAGTTATGTTATTGGTATCAATAAAAAGAGAAATTTATAATGATTGGTGTGGCACCATTCTCATTACTATATCACATTTTGCAGAAAAGTTATGGAGCATAATCGCACACCCCCCTTCTAATTTTGAATTATTTTGATACAATAAGCATCAAATGCAATGAAGCTGTATCTTGGAAACTGGAGCCAATTAACACTCAGGACTTAATTTTCCTTTATTAGTGACCCAATTCTGGTAAAATTCTGCTACTTTCACTTCCGAGGCTTTCTCCTGGTAGACCAGGGTTATTTAACATTTATGAAAGAAGACTTCAGCACTTTTTGAAGTGACACAGTTCCTTTAGGTTTTTCGTCTTCAGATTTTTTAAAACCATATTAGCTTCAAAAGAGCGAGAGAGAAAAAGAGAAAGGATGTTATATTGACAGTGATAACAGAAACTAATTTCATGGATATTCTACAACATTAAGTATATGTAAGTATAAACTTCCAAACCTATGGCATGCCATTCTTTAATGAAAAAAAAAAAAATTAATTGTTGGTATAAGAGGAATAAAACACTTTGGGGAAATGACTCAACTTCATGTCGAGCCACATCGCACCACCCCCTCATTGATTATTATCCTACAACAGAATGCCCTGAAGTGTTTTATTTCATATAAAATTACTGATTTATATAAAACCTGCAATCCAGTGTTATTACATACTCATTACTCCATGTTTAAAGATAACATGTTGCTAACTATCTTGTATTTTCTGATGTGTTTTGTAGAGTTTTTTTAAATTAACAACAACAACAACAAAAACAAAACAGATCACACACACACACACACCACATTAAATCTGCCTTTATGCACCACGGAACCCAAAATGATCTCGCATCATGTCAATGTTTTTCAAGAAGATTTTTTTTTTTTGCACAAGGTTCAAAAGATGCTCATTCTGCAGTACATGCTTTTATTCACAGATATTAGAAGGGATTAAAAGGAGGTGTCTGTTATTGCTCAGTTCTCGTGCACTAATTTGTAAAGATGTTTAAACATTGTGCTTAAATGGGGGCAGACATTGACAATGGGGCAGTCGTGGCCTAATGGTTAGAGAGTTGGACTTGCAACCCAAAGGTGAACCTGAAGGTCGCGGGTTTGAGTCTCAGGTCCGGGGGAGTGAATGACCAGCGCTCTCTTCCACCCTCAATACCACGCCTGAGGTGAGACCCTTGAGCAAGGCACTGCTCCCTGGGTGCTGCAGCAAAAAAGGCTGCTCACTGCTGTGTGTGTGTGTGTGTGTGTGTGTGTGTGTGTGTGTGTGTGTGTGTGTGTGTGTGTGTGTGTGTGTGTGTGTGTGTGTGTGTGCGCGCGCGCGCGCGCACTTGGATGGGTTAAATGCAGAGCACAAATTCTGAGTATGGGTCGCCACACTTCACTTCACTAAATCTGGTCCGAGCTGATTTGCAGAAACCAAGTGATCAGTGCTGCTTCATGATGTAAACATTAGACAAAGGGATGGGGATAGCAATTATACATTTTTTATGACTTTATTTGTAAGAAAATCAACAAATTTGACACTGCACGCTACATTTCCCATCCATTTTACATGAGACTGGGTTGGAAAGATGGAAGACAAGATATTCCATATAAGCCACATTGAGACAGCTCATAAACCAATAAAGAGGAAATTAATGTCTTTTAACACTTTTATCACCAAGGCTAATGTTTAATTCATACTGAGAGCAACTCAGGGCAAGTACACATCCAGATAATATCTGCTCAGGCAAACACAGTTACCCTACAGCTCTATTCTGCTTTCAAATGCCTCCCAAGCTCCTTGACCTGAAGGTAGAGCAGATTGGATGGCGTTAGGTCCTGTTTTTGCCAAAGCACAGCTGTGTATCCTCACTTTCAGACTGAACTTGGTTTCTCTGTTGCCTAATTTCCAATTATCTTACTTTGGCTTATCTTCCAAGGCGAATCAATCTGTCTTCTTTGCTACTCTAAAGTGCAGCTGAGAAAAGTTTTACTTTTTTGTTACAAGAAAATGTATTGCTGTGAAATCACAACAATCACACTTTCTATACACTGTAAGTTTTAATTAAAATCTTCAAAGATGCCATGATTGTGCAACCTATTTTGTGTGCATGTTAGGGAGAGCGTGAATAACCAGAAAAAATATGCCTACATTTTTTCTTCCACGCATATATTTTTTCGTCCTGTTTCTTCCAACCCCCAAGAAGGCCTAGAGTTGAGCAGCTGCGAGTGGAGTAAAAATTCCTGCCAGGAAAAAAATGTAAACAGAAGCTTGAAATGATAACCGGAACCACATCCACTGCATTGCAATACGGCACGTGACAGTTTTCGTAATTTCTTCGCAATTCTATGACTATTACAGGTCTACAATCTCCCGTAAACATTAAAAACGACTACTTTTTTCGAGTTGTTCATGTTGTGTCACAGGGTGGCGTAAGAGAGATACTATGCGATCCCTCCCACCCAGAGAGCAACTTTGCTCTGAGTCCCGTCCTGGAATGGGTGTGGCATTGGCGGAAATTCGGAAGTGTGAATCCTGACAATGCTAACACTCTTCTGTAGCGCCACTCACCAGGGTGCAAACTGCAGCTGTAAACAACATTTTGAAATAAAAATAATAATAAATAATAGTTGTGCACTTCCATTTCTATGTAAAAATGTTTTTGATGTTTCCATTAACAAAACATTATTATATAGGCATCATTATTCTCTTCCTCTCTCTTTGCAGGTTGGGAGGGGAGGATAAGCAGTTAGAGAAAGTGTTAGCTAAGGCAGGTTGCGAGGTTCACTGTTTTGACCCCAGCATCAGAGAGGCTCACCTGCAGGACGCACACATGTGGCTTCACAGGCTCTCCATCGACTGGAGGGACCCGAACCCTGCTATCATGACTCAGAGACAGCACAGCAGCACCAAGAAGCTTTCCACTGTCCTCAACCACTATGGACATAGACAGGTAAAGCAGAATGCTGCTACATGTGCAGAACACAGGGGTGACAATATATACTGCATGGGTACGACAGTATATCATGATAAATTCATTTAAGATAGATATCCAGTCAGTGGTGGCTCATCCATTCATTTCAGACCTCACTCATCACTGTATACATTTGAAATTCCATTAATATACTAATGACTTCTTTTGAGTGACCATCGATTTTAAAAAATGTTGCTATTTGACAAATATACACAGATGTTCTATTCATTTGCTCATCTTTGTGCAGTCGTGGGGCAGCACTGCATCACCGTGTCATTTAGCGTCATAAAGTTGTTACTGCACCTAGTGGACAAAATGGGAACTGCAACAAGTGCCTACTGGGGCAGGAATCACGCTGCCCCATACTCTCTCTATGAACATTTTCAGTGTAGGAGGAGCAGCGAACAGTTAATGACAGTGTGGCGAGGCTCGTCAAAATCTTGTTTTATAGAAAATAGTCAGAATGAAATCTAATATCTTTCCATAAATAAAGGCAACGTGGATGTGCAGACTATCTCTAGATTGTCTATGATGTACAGAATCATTTCTACTGTGATATGTATTGCAACAATTGGGAGAGGGAAAGGAGGATTATGGAATGGACAAAACTATACATCAGAAATGCGTGTGCACCACGGTGACCTTGTTTCACATGCAAAGTCTGAGAACATGAAGCAGAAGTGTCTGTCTGATCCACTGACTGAATATGTTTTGGGCTAGTTTCAGGTCTTTTGTGTGCTTTTTGAGAAGTAGCTGGACCGGAAATTGCTAAAACCTAGCAAACCTGGTTAATGGTGACAGGAACACACCTGAACACAGTTGATCAAATGTACTTCCAAAACCCACTCAAAAAGCCTATTACGGGGTTACTCTAAAAAAATCTCTAGATAGTAACCTGTAGCATAAGTCAGTTTTGTTTGAGGATATGTCATTATTAATGTTGCTAATAATTTTATGGCATTATATAGCATTATCTACACTTACATAAAGTGAGCTGAAAGCAAAGCAGATGAGTGCCTGGCCAATTTATCCTCAGCTCCTTTTATTAATGTCATTATTTTATTAATTCAGCAAATCAAAATAGCAAATTAAAAGCATGATTAAATAGCTTATATTCCATATACACATCACAATTTCATGACCTTGCTTTAGTGGCTACATTACAGTCAGTGTACAATAAATAACTAAGTAAATATATAATGTTATATGTTGTTGGGGTCGCCACAGCGGATAATTGGTCTGCATATTTGATTTGTTTTTATGCCGGATGCCCTTCCTGACACAACCCTCCCCAATTTTCTTTTATCCGGGCTTGGGACCAGCACTGGGACTGCATTGCCTTGTGCAACGCCAGTGGCTGGGGTCAGTTCTCTGGCCGGGAATTGAACCCAGGCCGCGGCAGTGAGAACGCTGTGGCCTCACCGCTAGTCCTCCAGGGACCCTAAATATGGAATGTTATATATTAACGGAATGGATATTTTTTGGGCTAGTTTCATTTTTTCAATTTTTTGGGCATATATACAGTGCTGAGTAAAAAAAGAAAACTGCAGCAGTAAACTAAAACCAGAGAAAGTCAATATCTGGTGTACAATAAAATAAAATGTACAATATGTCACTCTTTAATAAATAAACAGTAATAAACAGTAATCTTTGGCAAATTGCTGTGGTATAAGAGAAACAAAAAACACTTCAGGAATTGCTGTTAGGAAGTCAGTAATGGTAACTCCACCATCCCATCGTTGATTATTTTCTTATAAGAGCATGTCCCTTTGTGTTTTATTCCCTATTGTCAAGCAGAGAATTACACAATAATATAGAGATATGCGAGTCAAAGTTGATTGCTAACAGAAGACAACAATGAATACTGCTCCTTTTTACTGTATTGTAGTGTTCTTGAATGAGTCATGAATCAAATGAGTCATTTCTAAATTAAATATGAAATATGGATGAAATATGATATATTAAATGTACTCTTATATAATATATAACAATGCACTCTTCCTGTAGCCATGTTTGAACCAGAGAATAGCATATAACAGCTCAAACTACACTTCAGTGTTTGATGATGTGAGTGCCGTCTTTACTTTGTGTTATCAAATGTCTGAGACCTCAGGCCTGAAATATAACAGTCATCAATCCATATCTTTCACAAACTCTTTCTGACGGAAAGAAAGATTTCATGCCCCCTTTTATCAAAACGATAACTGCTACAGTGATTTATGCACCGTATCTTAAGATGCCAGTTTTTTTGGATGCTTTCATATATCACTCAGCCTCCTCCCTCTGCTCCTGTTTCTCGCTGCATGAGCAGGAGTGTAATCCCGGCAAATTAAATTCAATGCCTTGAACAGAAGAGCCTACAGGCCATGCATCAGTGTGTGGCATTACCAAATCAATGCCTCGTAAGCTGGGATGATTGATTTGTCTTTCTTAGGCTGGTGGAACGAGTATGAGATTAATGCATGCAGATTAATTCTGGGAAGGTAGCTACTCAAGTGTTTTCCAACTGTTAGTTACATTTTGTACAGTATCTAGTCTAGGAACAGTGCTGAGATTAACAAAAAAGAAACTTTGGTATTATTTTTTTGGATGAGAGAAAACTTTTTAGAGGTTGTTCAGAATGTCAAGATCTTGGAAACACAAGTGAGGAAAAGTTCCCAAGTCTGTTAAAAGTCTTGTGTGTTAGATCTGAGCGAGTGTCTATTTTTTCTCCAAATAGAGAAAACAGACCACATCAGCTAGCCAGTAATGATAAGATGGAGGAGTAGCATGTTTCCACTTAAGTAAAATAAGGCGCCTGGTTAAGAGGATGCAGAAAGCCAGAACATTTGATTGTGAAGCAGAGAAAGCTTCAGAAAGCTATAACATTTGATTATGAAAAAAAAAAATTGTCGACAAAATGATAGGACTTTTTGGAAAGGGTTTTGTTAAAAATGTTAGAAAAGCACTTAAATATTGATTGCCAAAAAAAACCAAACAAACGTGATAGAAGGGCAGTCCCAAAACATGTGACTCAGGTTAGCACTTTAAGCATTGATGTGAAAATAAATGTAGCAGGATTTCAGTCGACTCCAAAGGTCAGTCAGCTGAAATCCTGCTACATTTGCTCTCACATCAACAGTTTCATCGGCACTTTCTGCACAGACAGAGTTTGTTTGTTACCACACAACTTCAGAACCGTGGCCAATGCATATTTCATCATCAGCAACATACCACCGTGTGCTGGCATTGACTCGACTGGTTGATGCCATAGTCAAATGGCACACATGCACAGTTGCATAACACCGATCAGTTTCATCTAATGCTCTAAAAATGGGTCAAGTTTCTGTCATAAAATGCTTAGCTGTTGATTTTAGTCCCATTGGCCACAACACTGAGTATTTAAATAATTCAATTCAATTCTACTCTATTATATTTGTATTGCGCTTTTAACAATGGGCATTGTCACAAAGCAGCTTTACAGAAATACACGGATTCATAAAATATATATTGTAAATATGTGGATTTATCCCTGTGAATTTATCCCTAATAATGAGTCTAATACTTGAAACGCCCAACTGTTCAAATTGTTTAAGCAGCAGTTCAAATGTAGCCCGATTCTGTGGGAAAAGCTGAGACCTGGCAACTCTGTACTGAGCATAAAATCACAGATATGGACATTTGGCTCAACAGGTGAGGTTAGAGCTCTGGGAACTCCCAGAAAAAAAAAAAGCTATATTTTTAATAATGTAATCACAATTGAATGAAAAGAGCCTGATATTATCTGTCTTATTATCTGTCCACCTCTGTCAGATTTTATCCATCCTCTGTTTAATCTTCACATCATTCAGATTAGGTCTTCACTCTTCATCCTCTGCCCCTCAATACAAGCGTCAGTGTTTAGATCAACTTTTTTTTGTCAGCTTTCTTTGCTTTCCCTCCAGTTCAGGCCACCTACACTCTACATTCTACCCTATCGTTATTCTCCTTCAGCGACTGACCTACTCTGCATTCTTTCCCCTCATTGCCTCTTATTCCTGGCCAGCAATATTTCATTCAGCTCTAAGGACAGAAACCTTGCTGAACCAGATTTCTGACTTTTCTTTTCTTGAAACACAAGGAGGTGAACATGCACTTTGCCAAAGCTCTACTGAAATATGAAATCTTCCAGAGAGTCTTAGTAAAATGGATTGTAGTGGACAAAGGAGACACGTGAGAAACGTCTGTCACTCAAACGTCACTCAGAATTTATTCAGAGAAGGTCACAAGGATGATCACAAGTTTTATGAGAAATTTTATGAATGTTTCTGATTTGTTTGTATTTATTTTTCCATGCAATAATATTGTGATTATATTATATTATATTATATTATATTGATAAAATTAGCATCTCAGTGATTGGTTCTTGGTGCCAGAAAGGCTGGTTTGAACATTTCGAAAAAAACTCCTATATGTTAACTCAAATAATCACTCTTTACCACCATGATAAGCAGAAAAGCATCTCAGAATGCATAACACATGACGCTTACCGAAACTAAGATGGTAAAAACATCTTTATTCAGTCTTTGGTCTTTATTCAGTCTTCACCTGCCCATTTAGGTGAGCCTGCACCCAGCCACTGTAGCCTCAAATTCCTGTTCTTGGCTGACAGGAGTGAAACCTGATGTGGTGTTCTGCTGTTGAAGCTCATCCACCTCAAGGTTCACTGTGTCGTATGTTCTGAAATGCTTTTCAGCATGGTTGTAAAGAGTGGTTATTGCCTTCCTTTCTGAAGAACTGCTGCTCACTGGATGTTTTTTGTTTTTCACACCATTTTGTGTAAACTCTAGAGTGTTGCATGTGAAAATCCCGAGATATCAGCAGTTTCTGAAATACTCAAACCAGCCCATCTAACGCCAACAACTAAGCCAAGGTCAAAGTCAATGATCACATTTTGCCCCATTCTGATGTTTGATGTGAACATTAACTGAAGCTCTTGATGTGTATGTGTATGATTTTATGCATTGTGCTGCAGCCACATGTTGGCTGATTGGATAACTGCATAAATGAGCAGGTATACAGGTGTTCCTACCCTGCTGTGTAGCTGTGTTTATCTTCCTAGCAATATCTTGCATCAACTCTATCACTATTGAATTAGTTGATTTATTTGTGAAGGACACACTGCACAGTTTATTACACACCATGTGTTGCCAGATGAATAAATGCAAATGTAACTGTAACAAAATGTAATTACTACCCAGATGGCAAAAATGCTTGCTTTCTCTCTCTCTCTCTCTCTCTCTCTCACAGGTAGATGTGCTGAAAGTGGACATGGAGAGTGCTGAATGGAAAATCTTAGAGAATCTGATTCTGGAAAATGTTTTACACTCTGTGGGTGTCTTGCTCCTTGAGGTTCACCTGCACTGGGCCGGGTTCGAAGTGAGCGGCGACGAGCCCTCCGTAGTGCGCTACTGGTTCAGTCTGCTGAAGGAGCTGGAGAATACACACTTCCGCCTGTACCACAGTTACAGAGACCCAGCGAAGCCACGACTCTTCCTTCGGAAGAACATACACAATGCAAGCAGCACTTACATACTGGGGTGGGTCAACAGGTGCTACTCGGCATGGTGAGACTCATCCGGTTTAAACTGTGAGAAATGGAGTACGGCAAGAACTCCTGATAGAAACTTCATTTCTGAGATAGTTTAAAGTGACTATACAGAGGAGCCAAGGCACTTCACACTCAAATAATATTCCAGTTGGATGAATTTTTTTTTTTTTTTGGCAGGCAGGCAGTAAGATGTTTGTTTTAATTGTGCAAGTATCCCATCTGCAAGCTTGTGTGCTGTCAGACGAACATACACGAGCGGCAAGTAGGAAATAAACTGGAGTGGAGTGGATCAACACAAATTACTTGATACAATAATTGCAAGAAATGGAGTAAAAGAAAAAGAAGAGAGGCAGCCATGCTGAAGAAATTTAATTGAGAGACAGGCTTTTCCACCAGAAAACAATAAAACAGCAACAAAAGTGGATTTTGTTTGATTTGAATTACTGCTACATTCAAATGAAGTCATGTTCACCATTTTTACTAGAAAATTCCCACTCGAGTGTTTTCTAATGGAGTCTCTTACCAACACATCTGAGGGAATTTGATACTCCTCATGATTGACTCACTGCCAATGCTTTTACAAGCTATTACGAGCTAGTTAGCTAACCTTTAGCAAAAGTTTAGTAGTAGATGCTCAGAATGTGGTGCATCTACTACTTAATGTCTATTATGACTTGAACAGCAAGCGCGTTGTGTGTTTGCCTTTCTATGTTAAAAGTGGAAATTCACTCCTTCATTCAGAGGTTACCTGTAAGCACACAATGTGTTGTTAGGGCCTGCCCGAGACATTATAATGAAGTGTCTTGCATAAGCGTTGAACTTTATGTAAGACGCTGTATTAGCATGCTGCGTGTAACTTTTCCACTTTTT